ATAGGTACAGAATTGTAATACTGCTACTTCGAGTAACTTTAGTTTTATTTTTGAACAGACTGCGGCTTTTGTAGCACTGGTGCGTGTGCCGTTGGGGGAAGTGGAAGGCGGCGTGAGCATGCCCCTTTCCCTCGCCGTCCTTTCCAGTTCCCACCCCGCATGGTTATCGTATTTTTAGACGAGCGTGAGTGACGCACTCTCACAACATACCAAAATGCATGCCCTTCGACCGGGCCAGTGCTCGCCCACGAGGGCTGGTGCACAGCGTCGAGTTAGGCGGCTGTAACGCTCTGCATTCGTCGCGTTGCGATCCTCTTGCTACTGTATCGGCAAGGCTCTTTGTTGGTCGCGTGTTGGCTGCGGTGCGGCTCCTGCGAGATGCGTGTGGTTGCGTGGCTCATCACTCTGGTTGCGCTTATCTTGGTCCCCCTCATCCCTCTCCACTGCGCTGTCGATGCACTGCCCTCTAAGTGACGACAATTTCACTTTTTTTTTGCCTGGAAAGCTCGCTATTGTAGTGCGGATAAGACTCTGTATGAGGCGAGTATGTCGCTCGTGCACACAGCCGTCTGTCCTACTTCTTTGACATTAACAGCACGCAGTTAATGTCACTCTTACAAGATTTGCACGAAGTTTGAAGGTTTTTTTTGCTAGATGGATGTATAGAAAGGCTCGGTGAAAACTGCGGTGAAAGTGAGCTGTAGAGGGACAGTGCAGAGGTGGTGCAGGGTGGGGGAGGGGGATATCAGGTAAGAGGAAACGTACGAAGTTCGGTCGTTTTTTCGGTAAATGCTCGCTGTGCTTAAAAATGACAAATGCAAATTTTTTGAAAAAATGCAAATTTCCAGTTCACTAGAAGGTGGAAGTATTGCTCGAGCGGCCGTTTGTCAAAAAATGCACTTTAATTTACGTATACGATTGCGGTTCAGGTCCGAGTGGCTAGCGATTTTTGGGTTCAGGAGCTGCTTGAGGCCGTGTTTGGGAAGCTGGAGAACTGAGTTTAAAACTTTTATCTCGCACGTGCATAGAGAATATCCCCGCAAGGTTCAGCTTTCTACGTTGCCTGGATCGCGAAATCGTTTCCCGTCAACAAATTTCTTTGGGGGTCCCGTACGCGGAGTCTAGGCGCGTATGGGGAAAGGTCTTAAAATGGGAGGATGACACACGGGGTAGGAACATATATCCAAAGTTTCAGTCTCCCAGCTTTCCTGGTTGCCGAGTTGAAAGTGGGTGACAAAGTGCACTCGCTTTCCGAACACATACACACAGACAGCCTCTCGACAATATGCGTTTTTGCTGGCTACAGCAGCGCTATAGCGCTCCACAGTAAAAACGCACAATAAAAGGGCTTATTCACTTTCCCCATGAAGGCAGTTTTAAAGCTACATTAGGAACACTTAGCGTGATGGCGATGAATAACCCTTGCAAAAAGCCCATTATAAAGAGTTCCTGTTTTTCAACTGGTCGAGATTCTTACTTTTAAGCTGTATTCTCAGTGATTTCCGCGATTCTTCCATTCAGTCATTGGTTAACATTCCTTCTGATAAATCACATATTTTATCAGTAGCC